GGAGTAGCTCAGTTGACTTCCATCATTCAATCATATGTAAGCAAAATGCATTTTTTTATTTTCTTTGCACATGTTTGGGTATTCATTACAAAGTAAAGTTTCACAATATTCACTTGGCTCTGGTGAAAATTCCCTTGTAAAGTGAATAGTCTTTTTGCCTTTAGAAAATCAACCCCATAGTTACATTCCATATACCATATGTTATTTTAGGTACAGTTATCATAATCATGGAATGTAATTATTTAAATCTTATCTAGCACTAAAGCTGAGCATACACTAGTATATTTTCAAGCAAATGTATGTATGAACATTGGTACGAACATTCATATGAAGATTTTCAGTATATCTCCATGATTTTACATATGTCATTTTAAAATACTTCAAAATGCTGTTTGTGTTTAACAATGAAAACAGTCAGTTTGACCCCATTCATTATTAGAACATCAAACAAACACTTTAAAAAGAAAAATTCTTACTAGATTGCACTAGTGTATGGTCAGCTTTAGTATTCTTTACAAAGTAACAAGTCTATCATCACATGCTGGGAGATAAGTGGCACCTGGCTGTTGAGTTGGTGGAAAATGTGTCAATACTAGCCAGTCTCTAGCCTGTGAAGCAGACACAGGGAAGCTACCGAATTTACTGCTCTTATTAGTAGGAGCTTGACCTTCCCATCAAAGGATGCTGTTCTTGAAAGAAATTACCTTTTTATGGGGATTTGGATGATTTTTCCAGCTGCTACTGCAGACCTGTTTATTTGTCTAACACATGTTTTGACATAAGGAAGACCTGTCATACAATGTCACTGTAGCAGACACAAAAAGATGTGCCTTGAATTGTGCAGATCCGGGAAACTTGCTTTTTTGGTGGGACACTAAAAGATTTATGAGTATTTTTGTTTAAAGGACTTTCACATATGGATATCTGTCTTCCTATTTGTAATCCCTTACGAGTAGGTTGTAAGCGGAACTGGGGCCTCCTGACTAGCTCCACTGAAGGTAAAAAAAAAAAGACTTGAAAATGGTGTTCCAAAATTTGGAAAATACTGTTGAAGCAGGTGGTGCTACTCTGCATATTCCTTGGGGATTTGGCATGGAAAATGTGACTAACTGGCCTTGCCATACAATGTTTGCTGGTAATACAGTAATATTATAGTTATTCTAATTTTTTACCGATTTCTACCGTGTATTGTTTTTGTAAAAGTTAAAACACCCATATGGCCAAAACTATGTAGACACCCTTTTAAATAAAAGAGTTCAGATGCAGAAAGCCAGGTCTATAAAGGCATGGGGTTGATTTGATATAGGCAAATAGGCTGTTCACTTTGCAAGGGAATTTTCCCCAGAGCTTGGTGAATGAGGTGAAGCTCTGCTAATGTCCATCATCCAAGCACGTGCAAGCACAAATGCTATTTTTTTTTTTCCTTGGACATGATTGGGTATTCTTTGCGAGGTGAAATTTCACAGATATATTTGTTTTTAAGTGATATGCAGATGTGCTACCAGCCAACATGAACATTCATAACCGTAGCATGCTAATCCTATATAATATTTAGGAACATTTGCATTGCCCTAAGCAATTTGTGCTAATTTATTATAACACGGCTGCCCACCAGTCATTCTGCCTTCTGGCAGATACTTCAGCTACATTATATGGCCAAAAGCCTGTGGACACCACGATCACATCTATGTAAACTTGTTGGACATCTCATTTCAGCAGCTTCTACTCTTCTAGGATGGCTTTCAACAAGAATTTGGAGTCTGTAGGAATTGATGTCTATTCAGCCTTAAGAGCGTTTGGGCAACATCCCTTGCAGTGAGCAGTCTGGTTGCCTTTACTAAATCAAACCTATCAAATCAAATCAAATCAAAATCAAATGTTTGGCCTCAGTCCAAACTGATATGGACAGTTTCATAATGCATAGGTGGAGTTTGTAGAAAAATAATTTAGGGGCCTCTAGGAAAAAATAACTGATGTGTTGTCTCCAGGACATATGTCAAGTGTACCTCTGAATTAGGGGGGATGTCAGTGAAGTCCCATATGATTAAGTTTTTCAGTTATCAGGCCAGGTAGTATAAAAATAAATCCAGCAAAGCCATTTCTGTTTCCTTCTTGGATCGTTTTTAGTGATGCCAGTTTAAACATAGGTCTGGTAGTACCCTATATAGAAGAGGAGAATAAAGAGTTCAGTTCCCTAAAGAAAGACTTTAGTACTATCATAGGCATATTGGTTAGTATATATATGTGTTTCAGCAAAAAAATAATTTTATTCTGGTTTATTCTACCTGCTACTGTCAGGGGCAACCATACTTACAGTTTATCCTTAATACTTTGTAGTAGAGGGGCAATATTCTCTGGATTGGTCTGTGAAGGGTCTCTTGATATTACAATCCCTTGATATTACTAGGAAAATACAAATGTAAGGGGAGATTGAGCAAAGTGGAGGGCATGGATTCTAAGGCCCAAGGTCATAAATACCAACTCCGTAAGTTAATTTTAAGGCCAGAGTATTAACTTCAATGACATAGAAAGTCAAAAATAAGGAGGCATACATCCTAAAAGAATAATAACAAATCATCAGCATATGAATCTGTGTTTGGATGTCTGTGAGAATAATGCCACTGAAAGTCTCTTCTTGCCATGAGTTAATAATGAGGGTCCCTATTGTTATAGACAAAGGACAGCCCTGTCTGGAGACATGGTTGCAGGGTAAAGGAAAGGGAAATGGTACCATTGACCAAAATACTGGATTGTGGGTGGGCTTAGATTGTGTTCATCTATTTGCAAACATTTTGGCCTAGACCAAAAGAGTCAAGACTAGCATGACCGTTCTTTAGAGTCAAAGTACTGCACAGTATATTTAGCGAGGAAAATTGTAGACTAGCAAGTGTAGTCAGATGAAGGAAAACTTCAAACAAGCGTAATAGCTCAATTGGGCACCCAACAGTAACTCAAACCATAGAAATACAGAAAGGAGTGGCAGACAAAAATCGGATAAAAGAGTCCAAGATCACTGTTGCTTTTAAAAAATACTATATAGTCTTATATGACTTTTTTTTATCAACGATTTAAATTATCTGTGACTTTTTTTATCCAGTTTTGGTCTGGCACTCCTTTCTGTATTTCTATAGAGTCAAAGGTGTTAGATGTGGCTAAAGAAGCCAAAACACATTTTTGGAGTATAGCTTGCCACAATCTAGGGCAGCCCTAGGGGTGTTAATTGTAGTTGATTTCCCAGGCATAAAACAGTATGCAGGGATTCCCATGGGATGGGACTTCCAATCCACTGCCAGAACAAAATTGAGTCAGGTTGAGTGCTTCTCATCCATTTTCAGGAAGCCTTGTATTTTATCAATAGATACAAGGCTTCCTCTGAATGGCTCAGGTGGATAGGCATGTGCATGACTTCATGATCTCCACCTCAGCCAGTCAGAGGAAGCCTTGTATCCACATAAAAAGTCACCCTGACCCGATTTTGTTCTGACAGCAGACAAGGAGCCTTTGTATCACTGCCGGAGCACAGCAATGTCTACTGCATGTAGCTAATGCAACATACAGTTTATACAGTGCTGACAGCAGCTGCATCACGTAGTAAGGGAAATAGTTTGTTTGGTCTGGCCTGGCCAAATTAACTATTTAAAGTGAAAGGAAAGGTTGAGGCTTTAAAGAATCATTTTTAATGTACATTTGATGTCCCTGATTGATGCTTCTTTTGTCCAGGATTCTGTAAGTCTCTTTGATTTACAATGGTCAATACAATTGTACAATTTACAATTGTAACAAGCAGGGATTTGTCCTGTACTGAATTGAATTGTAACTGTACTATTTGTCCTCATATTTTAAAGCGCTGTGCAAACTGTTGGCGCCATATAAATCCTGCATAATAATAATATTAATAATAAAAAAGCAGAGCTTTCATCAGAATGGAGAACATGGTGCAGGCTTTTTCTCGGATTATCAGAACAATATGCATGTGCTATTGCATATGTAGATAAAGAACAGCTGAAAACTGCTAATTTCCTGTCCTGGTGAATATACAACAGACTGCAGGTAGTCTCTGAAACTAGGATACAGGCCGCAATAAATTCTAGATTGTTGCTCTATCCCTTCCCCACAAATCTAAAAAAAAGTGCCTTTACTGCTGCCTTGTCTCTGTTACTTCCTGTCCTGGGATCACGGAACCTGACCAGGCTGCTGCTAATCGCAAGGCAGTGACAATGCTAAGCTTTAAGGTATGAAACAGATTCAGAAAAAAATGATTTAATTAAGAAAAGAGTATAGGGTGAGACACAATGCCAAACATACTGAACAAAAATAGATTTAGGTTCTAAATCCACTTTAAGCTAGTGATTATAGAGAAATGAATAGCATGAAAAATAACTAAGAATTAAGTCTTTTTTTAATAGCAAGTAAAGAAAGAGATGATCTTGCAATTTGTTACGAGTGTGAACTAACACGGAACTTTTCATGGAAATTGATGAAAGATATGGTCATGTTTGGTAGCCTAAGATGTCTATTATTATGATTTCATTCCTGAAAATGGGCAGAATTATGCTGCATTTTGGAAATTAAAGTGGTTCTAAAGGCATTCTATGCATGAAGGTAAAAAACCTTCTCTGTGCAGCATCCCCCTTGCCCCCTCCCCTAATATTTACCTAAGCCCCCTCTCAATCCAGCAATGTGCAGTGGAGTTTTGGCTATTCTGAGACTCTCTCTCTTCATTGGCTGAGACAGAAGCCATTGGCTCCCACTTCTGTCAATCACCGCCAGTGAGCCAATGAGAAGAGAGAGGGGGTGGGGCCGAGCTGAGGCTCCGTGTGTGAATGGAGGGTGATGCTTGCTCTGGGGGCACCCGACAGGTGGGAGGGGCCAGGAGCACCGAAGAGGGACCCAAGAAGAGGAGGATCCAGGCTGCTCTGTGCAAAACCACTGCACACAGCAGGTAAGTATAGGCATGTTTGTTATTTTTTCCTTACAAAAAATAAGCCTTTAGAATCACTTTAACCCCTTGCCTACAGGGCACTTATACCCCCTTCCTGTCCAGGCCAATTTTCAGCTTTCTGCACTGTCACACTTTGGATGAAAATTGTGCAGTCATGCAACACTATACTCATATGAACTTTTTGTCATTTATTTTGAGACAGATACAGCTTTCTTTTGGTAGTATTAATCACCTCTGGGTTTTTTATTTTTTGCTAAACAAACCAAAAACCACTGAAAAATTTGAAAGAGAAAAGGTTTTTCTTAGTTTTTGTTATAAAATGTTGTAAATAAGTGATTTTTTTTCTCCTTCACTGATGTGCGCTAATGAGGCTGCACTGATGGGCACTGATAGACTGCACTGATACATGGCACTGATGGGCACTGATGAGGAGGCACTGGTAGTTGGCACTGATGGGCCTTGACAGGCATCACTGATGGGCACTGGAAGGCAGAACTCATATATGGCACTGATAGGCGGCACTGACTGGCACTGATAGGCGGCACTGACTGGTACTGATTGGTGGCACTGACTGGCACTGTTAGGCAGCACTGATAGACATCACTGACTAACACTGATAGGCGGCACTGACTGGCACTGAGAGGCAGCACTGATTTGCAGCACTGATAGGTGGCACTGACTGGCATTGATAGGTGGCAGTGAAAGGCAGCTCAGATGGGCACTGATATGTGACATTGATGTGCACTGGTAGGCACTGATATGTGACATTCATGTGGCACTAATGGGCACTGGCAGTTGGCATTGATGAGCGCTGACAGCTGGCATTGATAGACACTGATAGGTGGCACTTCTGGGGCTACACTGATCTTCAGGGCACACTGATCATCAGTGCCCTGATGATCAGTGTAGATGTCCCCTCCGAGGAATGCTGATTACCAGCTCTCCTCTCCGCTCGAGCTGTCAGCATGACAACTCGTGAGGAGAGAAATGCCGATAACCGGCATTTCGCTATTTACATGCGATCAGCTGTGATTGGACACAGCTGATCACATAACTGAGCCGACGTCTTCGGCTCTCTCTGTTGATTGGTGATCCGCTGTGTCCGAGGGACCCAGTGCACTACCGTCCTCCCAGAACGAGAGAACTGCCTTGTGCCCGTCATTTCCTTATATGGCAGGCGGGAGGCGGTTAAAGCAGTATTAAACCCCCACAAATATATTTTCTTTTGCAGTTTACCAATTCCTAAAGTTGGTGGCTGCATTAGTTTAATTATTTCGGGTTTATTTTTATTTTCACCTGGTGACCTGGCCAGTTACACATTTCCTATCTTAGTATGTCTCCACTCTGAATGGAGGGGCAATGGAGACACTATTGAACAGCAGCATTGTCAAGCATTGTGTAAAGCCAGTCATGCATGTATCAAAATTTGAGTGGTTCAGCAGGGACCAACTGAATTTTGATCCATGTGTGACCACTGTGGTTGTACAGAAGTCAATCTACTGATCGACTTCTGTTCAAACGCCCTGTCAGTATATACTTGTTCGATCAGCGAAGCAGGAAATAGGCTGCAGCTCTAATCTGTTTAGTATTCTAGCACATAGGAGTCTCCCTGCTGTCAGAATAACACAGCAGGGAGGATTCCTACATACACATCAAAAGTGTAGGTGGGGGAATCTGGTCTGATACTTTTGTTGGACAGCTTGGACTGTAAAAATAAGTTGAAAAATAACAGATTCACTGGCAGGTGACTTAAAATTAAGGGTCTGTTGACACAGGAAATCACACAGAAATTTGCTGTGCATTCCTGTGAGATTCACATGCAGTTGGTGCACTACACCAAGAGTAGTGCATGCACTACTTTTTAAACTCACTGCAACCAAATCACATGGTACTTGTGTTCCATGCGATCTGGTGTGGGCAAACCCACTGCTTTTGCGACCTGAGTTTCGGGGTCTCATTAACTTAATATTGACACCCACTGAAGATCGCAACTGCAGTGCATCTTGAATGAGGTGCGGGAAACACGCAGATGTGGGAAGGTGCAGCTTGTGTAGTAAACACACACAGTTCGGTTGAAGATAACCAAAAAATTGTATTAAAAAAGACAGGTCCAACCTAACAAATGGCCCAGTGGGAGACTGCCATGCCAGGAAACACTCACAGCTCCGTGCAACTTTAGAATACAGTAGGTTCTGATGCACCGACAGTGTCTGTCTCAGTTGATGGAATGCAGCCTGGCTAATCCGTTTCCACTGGGGAGAATTCCGATGTAAAATGTCGTGTCCCACCTCTCCCTACTTGTCTGGAACCATTTTCCAAGACAGACAGGTGCTTTTCCCTGCGCTATCCACTTTTCAGAATGTGCGTCACAACCCAGGGCAGAAAATTGAAGAGTCTCTGTTGACCCAAGATAGACACCGGAAGACACCTGGATGCAGCGTAGCCAACTGGAACATCAGGAGACAAGGAAACATGGAAACCATAGAGAAACCAGACTTCCTCCCCAGCTGCAGTATCACTCCAGCTCCACCTGCAGTGGAGACATCAGACTGCGCCTGCCTACATGCTGAATGTGGATTTCTGGTGTGAACCGGCCCACAGGGAAGAAAGCTTAACAAAGAAAACTAATGCAACCACCACATTTAAAAATTGGTAAGTTGCAATATAATACATTTTTGTTTTTGGGCTTAATACGGCTGTAAGGTCTTCATTTCTTTTCATGTTTTTATCTCTTAGCATTTTCTAGCTTGCACATTCCATTGCTCAGCCTAATCATGGAGCTTTGCAACTAGAGGCTAATCTTTTTCAAACATTAAATAAACTGCTTAGCAAGTGATTAAATGTTACAGTTCAAGCAACATTTTGCAAAAGGATGAGAATAATACATTGATGACAGAATAAACAGGGATGTTTTCCTGACCCCCGCTCTTTGAAGTATAGAAGCTCTTTCCTTTTTTTTTTGCAGGTAAATCTTGTTTTTGTAAACTTGTCCTTTCTCTGACCTCCAACAGTCTTCATAATCTGCTTTTCAGTGAGCAAACAAAGCTACAGATATAGTAAATGTGTCAAGTCTAGAAGAGACAATACAGTCAGGCGATGGTCTACTCTACAACTATAAATTTTCAGCCATTTTTTTCCCCAAAGGATCATTCCATGGAATGTGTGGTAAGCAAACACAACATGCGTTTTCTTAAAAAAATTGTAATACACAAATAAAAGGAATTATGTGTGTACTTGCCCACATGAAAATATGGCACCTTTTAAAAAGATTCTTAATATATTCTAAATAAAATAAGATATTTTATTATTATTATATTCCTTTAGATTGTAAGCTCCACGAGCAGGGCCCTCACATTCCTTCTGTACTGAAATGTATTGTACTTGTATGGTCTCCCTTATATTGTAAAGCGCTGCACAAACTGTTGGCGCTATATAAATCCTATATAATAATAATATTTTACAAGCATACTTTCTTTATATATGCAAAAAAGTGTAGCGTGTACACAACTAGTGAAAATGTGAAGCATTGTAACACAAGATCAGGATCAAAATGTATACCACAAACATAGGTGTGCACAGCATATAGCATTAGGGTGTGCACCCCAAAGCTCAAGCACACATGAGGAGGTGAGCAAAACCTTGGACAGAGGGGTGGCGGTGGACGTGGTATACTTGGATTTTGCAAAAGCGTTTGACACAGTTCCCCACACATGGCTAATGTTGAAGGTAAAGTCTATGGGTTTGGAAAAATCTGTATGTAAATGGTTAGAAAACTGGCTAAAAGTTTGTATTCAAAGAGTAGTGGTTAATGATTCATACTCTGAATGGTCTAGGGTTGTCAGTGGTGTACCCCAAGGTTCAGAGTTGGAACCCAATATAGGGTCTGGACTAAAAATCCCATTTCAGTCTTTGCAGATGACACTAAGCTGTGCAGTGGAATAACGTCCTCACAGGATGTCTCCAACTTAAAAGCTGACCTCAATGCTCTGTTTAATTGGGCAACTATGTGGCAAATGAGGTTTAATGTTGATAAATGTAAGGCGATGCACTTGGGGGCTAAGAATATGCATGCATCATACATACAAGGGGGAGTACAACTGGGGGAATCAATGGTGGAGAAGGATCTGGGAGTTCTGGTAGATCACAAGCTTAATAATGGCATGCAATGCCAAGCTGTGGTTTCTAAACCGAGCAAAATCCTCTCTTGTATTAAGAGGTCTCCAGAGAGAGAGATATCATATTATCCCTGTACAAATCATTAGTAATACCTCATCTGGAATATGCAGTTCAGTTTTGGGCACCAATTCACAAAAAATCATTGGGGAACTGGAGAAAGAGCAAAGAAGGGCAACCAAACTGATAAGAGGCATGGAGGAGCTCAGCTATGAGGAAATATTAGAGGAACTGAATTTATGCTCTCTTGAGAAGTGGAGATTAAGGGGGGATATGATCAACATGTATAAATACATCAGTGGTTCATATAGTGAACTCGGTGTAGAGCTATTCACCCTGAGGTCATCACAGAGGACAAGGGGGCACTCTTTATGTCTGGAGGAAAAGAAATTTAATCTCCAAACACGGAAAGGTTTCTTCACAGTGAGAGCTGTGAAAATGTGGAATAGACTCCTTCAAGAGTTGGTTGTGGCCAGCTCAGTAGATTGCTTTAACAAAGGCCTGGATTGTTTCTTAGATACACAGAATATAACTGGATACTAACATTTATAGGTAAAGTTGATCCAGGGAATATCTGATCGCCTCTCGGGGGATCAGGAAGGAATTTTTTTCCCTGCAGGAGCAAATTGGATCATGCTTTGCTGGGGTTTTTTTGCCTTCCTCTGGATCAACTGTGGGTATAGAATTATAACTTTTTTTTTAATGGTTGAACTGGATGGACTTTTGTCTTTTTCAACCAGACTAACTATGTAACACATGCGTCTGTGTGTATGTATCCCCCACTCCTGCATTAACAGTAATGAAAATTAATATTAACCCATTCCTCAGTCATAGCCCTATCCCCCATCATGATCACTTACAGTACATGATCACAGGAACCGATTCCCCCCTTTTGTCTGGGATGTTTCATCAGGGCTTTTTTTCTCACAGAATAGGTGTAGGAAGTCAACAACACCACTGCCGCACCACTCGCCATCAAAATAACCCCTTCCCTATGGCGAGACAGCACATGGCGAGACCACATCAAATGATAGGTGTGACCAGACCACTAACTGTGGGGAAGGGTCTTAATAGGGCATTGTTAAATACCATGAGTGCAGTACGCACAGTGAGGAGGATTGAGGTGTGCCCTACATACAAAATGCAGATTTCAGGAGTACGATACATACAGAGTGCAGGATTCAGGAGTGCGCCACATGCAGAGTATAGGGTTCAACAGTGCATTATGCAGAAAGTGCAGAGTTCAGGGGTGTGCTACATGCAGAGTTTAGAGTTGAGGATTGAGCTATGTGCAGAGTGCAGAGTTCAAGACCAAAAGTGCACTATGTACAGAGAGTAAAGTTGAAGAGTGTACAGAGTGTTCAAGAGTGTGCTATGTACAGAATGAAGGATTCAAGAGTGCGGTACATACAGAGTTCAGGGTTCAGGAGTATGCTACTTACAGAGTGTAGAATTGAGGAGTGTGTTTACACAGAGTACAGAGTTCAGGAGTGTGCTATGCACAGAGTGCAAAGTTCAAGAGTGCGTTATGTAGCAGAAACATGCTACTTACAGAGTGCAGGGTTCAGGAGTGCACTATGCACAGAGTACAGAGTTCAGAAGTGAACTACACTCAGAGTGCAGGGCTCAGGAGTGCACTAAGTACAGAGTGCAGGGCTCAGGTCTGCGCTGTGTACAGAGTGAAGGGGGTTGAGGAGTGCACTATGCACAGAGTTCAGGGTTCAGGAGTGCACTACGTACAGAGTGCAGGGTTCAGGAGTATGCTATGTACAGATTGCAGTGTTCAGGAGTGCGCTATGTACAGAGCGCAGGGCTCAGGTGTGCGGTGTTTATAGAGTGCAGGGATCAGGAGTGAATGTCCAATTTACAACCCTACTCCATACAGAGCTTTCTCCCCAAGAGAAAGCTCTCCCCTTCTTTCACTATAGAGCTCTTTTTATTCACCCTGTTCAGTACACGAGTCCCTTTTCCCCCTTCCAGTACAGATCTATCCTACCTTTCCTGTCCAGTACCAAGAGCTCTGCTATCCCCCACAGAAGAGAATCTACAACTTCCAGTGGAAGGTCAGGCTGCCAGTGGGAGCTTCTGGAGATGCTGCAGGTGCAAGTCTAGAGTGGCTGTGTACATACTCCACCCCCTCCTCTATTGAATATGCAGAGCAGGGAGGGTTTTGTGTGTGCCGGCAAGAATGAGCATTTTAAAACACAGAAAATGGGTTTCTGTGTTTATAAGTGGGACTAATGAGTAGCGATGCAAGTGGTACTGGAGTTCCAGCGGGCGGAAGCCCTGACACCTACAGTGCAGCCTTCCATCCTATGCTGGGTCCTGGTACATGGAGAGAGTTTTAGCACCCAGTACCCACTGCCACTTTGCATGTTGTGCATGGGGTGATTAGGGTGTGCCCAGACACAGCCAGCCCACCCCGTGCGCACACCCATGACCACAAATGCACTCAGAAAAAAATATATGAAAACATGTCACAAACAATTCAAGTGAAATTAAAAGTGAAGGAATCAAATATAAAGTGTAAAGAACATGTGTGCATCGTTAGTCCAGACAATAGGGGGTTAAAGTGGTTTTAAACGCTCAAGGTTTTTTACCTTCATGTATTCTATGTATGAAGGTAAAAAACCTTCTGTGTGCAGTGCCCCCAACCCAATCCATACCTGGGCCCCGATCACTACAGCCTCTGCTGTCTGGAAACTCTTCCACCTCATTGACAGAGATAGCAGTGGGAGCTCATTTACTCATGCTGCTGTCAATCACAGCCAGTGAGCCAATGAGGAGAGGATGGGGGGTGGGGCTATGTGTCTTAAAGAGTATAGAGCAGCAGCTCAGGGACGAACATGCAGCAGTGTCTCCAGGGCGAGTGGCTTTCCCTTGGGGCACTGCTCAAGGAGGAGGAGTCAGCTAACCGGTGGGAACCTGAAAAGAAGAGGATCGGGGCTGCTCTGTGCAAAAACACTGCACAGAGCAGGTAAGTATAGACATTATTATTTAAAAAAAAAAAAAACACAAAGAAAGCTTTTGTGTCACTTTAATTGTTATAGCCCAAAAGAGTGCAATAATTCTAATACATGAGAAAAGAGTCCAACCTAAGATGTTACTGAATATTGCATAAGAAAGAAATCCTCCAGATGATCCTCCAGATAAGAGAAGAGAGTCCAATATCAACTGAGAAAATGAATTCTGGTGCTGTCCACCCACATTAAAAACTCAACTGCTTACCAGAGCTTATTGACCCTAATGCTATGAGTGGTCAAATGCACTTGAAAAGTTAAAAGCGGCATCCACCCAAGCTCAGTGGAGCAGTCAGCACAGCTATTCACATTGAACCACCTTAGCTCTCTGCGTATAGAATGAAAAATATGTGAATATAAAGCACATGGACAAATGCCTCCAAAAGTGTAATAGCCAAGTTTATTCCGTCAAGTTAGATAGAAAAAGTGTTTAATAAACATAGCAGGGATCCCGCTCCATAAAACTGTTTGTGCTGGCCAGTAACTAAGATGGAGTTCATGCGTCCTGGATCCTTTCTACGAGCTTCGTCATACATGACATCATCGGGGCAAGGACGCACACTGCCATCACATCCCATATATAGCTCTGGAGAGAGGTGGACCCATCTCAGCAGCAAATTGCAAAGTTGCTATGTTTGTACATGGTGCTTTGGAACATTGTTTCTGAGTCTATGGTTTACCTGACACTTGAGGATGCAAGTGGTGGGACTGCTCACGTAAT